CTCCAGGAGGCTTGCAGTCTCAGAAACCCTCTGCCCTGCGGGGTTGCTGTGAGTCCAAACTGAATGGATGGCGGTGGGTTTGGGTGCCAGTGAAGTCATAGGAGGGTTCCCAGAAGTCATCTGCCTGTTCTCAGGCAGGAGACCCCACCCAGGCATCCCCCGTCCCCACCCCCAAGGAGGTCAAAGCAGCAGCCCCCAACCTTCTTTGCTAGTGGTGCCTGCAGAGCCCTTCTTTTCTCTCTCCTCCATCCTTCCAGCAGTGCTCCCCACCCCTGGCCCGCTGGTATGAAGAGAAAGGAAGCTCAGAGGTGGTTCCGTTCAAACTCCTGGCTTGAAGAGCAAAGAGACCAAGGCCCAGGGAGGGGCAGTTGCTTAGCAGGGCACGCAGCAAGTTACTGGCTGGGCAAGGAACTAGCTGAGCTTGCCCAGGCCCTCCCTCCTTCAGTGACCCCTGGAGAACATATCCTATTGCCCAGAAATTGGCACTTAGAAGAAGAGCTTTATAAAAGTGGGGGGTGGGGAGGGAGCAGGACGGCACAAGAGGAGCAACCAAGGCCAAGCCAAGCAGCTCCACTCGCATCCTCTGATTTGATTTGATTTGATCTGGTCTTCTTCGTGACTCCCCGGCAGAGTCGCTGGTAGATTCCAAGTCACAGGCCCAGAGCAAACTGTTCTGTGCCTTCCAGATGGAGAACCCAGAGCAGGGTCCCTGTTTCTATTCTGTTCAACAATTTCAGACAGAGCACCTGCTGGGGTGCCAGGCACAGTGCTGGGTATGAGAGAGACAGCAGGCTGGGGCGCCACCCCTGCTTGCGGGGTGTCCTGATGCAGTGGGAGGCAGCCTCGTGCTGAGGATTCCAGGGGGCAGTGCAGGCATCAACACAGGTGCTATAAGAACTCCTAGGACACCCGACTGGCAGAAACAAGTGGGCAAGGGCTGTCCTGTTCTGGCAGCAGTGGGGTTGCGGGGCGGTCAGTTGGTGGGAAGTTGTCCCTGCCCCCTCCCCAGTCTTTGCAGATACCGCTTCCTCTCTGCCTCGCTATGGCCATTAGGGACCAGTCAGAGATTGGAGGGGCTAGACCCCTTTTCTCTGCCACTTCTCTGGCCCCTCGCTTCCCCTAGCTACACAGAAGAAGCAGCTAGATGACTGGACTTAGCGTGGAAAGGTCTGAGTGGTGGGCTTGCCTCTGACCTCACCCTCTCTGAGCCTCCATCAGTAGCTTGCATGGTGATAGCTGGCCCGGCTGCCACAGCCCGTTGTGAGCGGCTGGCATGAGTCCAGGCATGCTCAGTGTAGACCCCCCTTCTCCCACCACCGCCCCACCTGCACCGGAGCAGCCAAGCTGCCACCATTTTTCAGGGGCGGTGGTGGGAGAAGGGAGATCTAGTGGCCTGGGTTTTTTAAAGTCTCTGGTCCCTCAGCCCCCAGCAGCTTGGAGGCCTGCCACTGCACAGAGAGCAGCCTCGCTTGCATGGGGCTGTGCCAAAAGGAAGATTGAAAACAGACAGGAACCAGCCCTGGGGGGGGGGGGGCGGGATTGCTCAGAGCAAGGAGGCTGCAGCCCATCTGGAGTGCACAGTGGCAGGAGCAAGCTAGAGCAGGTAGGCCGCCTGGGAAGGGAGAAGAGGGAGGCTGGGCGGCTGACAGAGGTAGCCCACGCTACTGGGCAATGAGCCTAAGACCTGCTCACCCAGTCCAGACCTGGCCCATCCCTGGCCACTTGTTCTATGCTCCGCTCACACCCCTGAGCCGAGTGTTCTTCCTCGGTGAAGTGAGAAGGCCGCACCTCACCTGCTGTGAGGGCCCAAGGAATCCTTGCCTGCTAGAACAAGCATTGAGCGAAGGGTTGGAGAGTTAGGGATTGTAGCCCAAGAGCTGCTTCCTATAGGCAGGGCAGTCTGGAGAGAATCCCTGTATCTCTCAAAGTTCCTGCTGACCACCAATCAGGAGGGATGCCCTGCCTGCAGCAGAGCCCCGGCCATTCCTTTCCCAGGTCGTGCCATTCTGAGAGGGCACCTTTCCCTGGCCAGTTTAGGCCATGACTTCAAATACTCTCCGCACAGGGATGGACCCTCCTTCCAGGGCCATACCTTCTCCGCAGCGAGTCTCACTTTCGCTGTTTCAATGTCAGGAAGGTGGACAGTTTGTCTCTAAGCTTCTCCCTGCTGCCCCCTGAGTCTACAATTTTTGTCCCAGGAGGAAGAGAGAGAAAACGCCTAGGTCATGGGTTCAGGAGCAGCTGGCCGATGTCGGAGAAAGTCACCTTGGTGTAGGAACGCAGGGAAGCCCTTCATTCACCAAAGACGGGGTGTCTGGAGGATGGTTTTACCTTAGCTTATTCGTTAGACTGTTCTAACAGCCCCAGGGAAAGCATGACTGGTCTTCTGAGACACTAAAGGGGCGCCTCCCCGGCGCACCGTGGCAATGCGTGGTAGTGGCCGTGTGATAAGCCACCGAGTCACCCCTGACTGATGGCAGCCCCAGTCTGTGGGACCATGGCCCCTGGGGGTTTCATTGACCAGTTTCTCAGAAGTAGATTGCCAGGCCTTTCTCCCTAGTCTGTCTCAGTCTGGAAGCTCCACTTGTCTGTCTCTCTAGTCTGTCTCAGTCTGGAAGCTCCACTTGTCTGTCTCCCTAGTCTGTCTCAGTCTGGAAGCTCCAC